CTAAAAAATCTAACAAATTGTAATAAATTTAAATACAAAATTTATATCCCAGAAAAATGATGAAGTGAATACACAATAAAATAAATCAAATCAAAGCAAAATATTTAAGAGACACTAAAAAAAAATGTAAAAACAGGTAAAGTATTAATTCACCAGTTTTAAAGCCAGAATCTCTCAATCCCAAACATTGTTGATATAAATGAAATGATTTCAGAAACTGGTCATATTTCCAGTTTACATCCTGTTTTTCTTGGTTTCTCACAGGTGTTATGATCTAATGTTGGCAGTGTTTGTTTTGTGTGACTCCTCCCACCAGAGGATGGCTATGGGTTTTTTTCCCTCTCTCCTAGGAGGTGGACACCTGGGCGTGCCTGCTGAGTAGTTGGGTGGAGTCTCCTCCAGACCTTGGATTGGATAATTGGCTAATCACCTCCAGTACTTAACTACCAGATGACAGCCACCTGGCCCCCTCTCTCCTAACCTCCACCATCCAACAAAGAACCTTTGTTTTGATTTGTTGCTGTGTAGAGTTTCTTTGACAAAGTGATTTGCAAGTATAACCTTGTGTGTGTCTGGCGTTAGTACTTCAATTTTGTAAATAGCTGTAAATAGATTTGTCAAGTAGCAATCGTGTATTTTGTTCACCTTGTATATATCCTTCACTGCAGCAGCCTAGTAGGCGTGAGAAGCCATTTTTGTTGATTAAGTTTTCTCCTGTTTTTCATTTAGAAAGTTGGGTAAGTGAATTGTCTTTTGTTTGGTTTTCATTTTGTGTAGGAAAGCGTAGGGACCACTAGGGAGTTTTGTTTGTTATTTTTGGCACTGCTCACTGCTGAAGCAAATAAATGGCTGCTTAGCACTTTAAAAAGATGTTGTTGGTGTTCTTGCTTGGGTGGTGTGTGAGTGGGACAACTTCTTGTTGCGTTCAATACTCGCCTAGACTAAGAACGTAACACAGGCTAACAGTGACCAGCTGGTTTACCTCCATCCTTTCTTCTTCAGGATGTTTCCCAGAGTCGTCTCCGCCCTGAAACACAAACTCACACAATCAAAGATTTACATCAAGATTTCAGACAATCTTATAAATGTAAGACATTTAACCTTAAAAATTCTTTAAGATAATTCCTCTTTTGTGTATAAGCTGAATCAAAGAAACTCTTATGAGAGAAGAACTTGGAGGGTTTATTATAAATAGAATCTGAGGCCGGGATGCTGTTCAGAGTTTACATGTATGTTTCATGTCTCTGAGAGCAGAGGCAGAGGGGGTTTTTGTTTTTTAACGTGCACTCTGCGACGCCCCCCGGCGACCTCCACTGTGTCCATGCAGCCGCCCTGCAGCGGTCTATACATCCTTTCTTATGGACTAATTAAGGCTGCGGTGCAGCGAGGTGGACGGGAACCAGCTGAGATCAGACGAGCAGACAGTCGGTACTGTACCTCCCCGAGGCGTAAACCTCCGCTGTGTCGAACAAATTCACTCCGCTGTCGTACGCCACCGTCATCACGCTCTCTGCCATCTACACACACACACATTAATACAAGCACAGATCTGCAGAAGTGGTTATGTAATATGTGTTCATGCATTTAGCACACACACACACATTCCTACATTACTAGCAGTGGACCGTCTGTCTGCACTGACCAAGTGAGGACCTCGTTTCTTTGGAAATATAACTTAAATCTATTTTTTAATGTAATTTCAAACTAAAATGAAACCTGACAAACAGCTTTTTGATTTATCCTTCAAAACTTTCCAAGCAGGAACTTTGATTTCCTGTCTCCGGAGCCTCGGTCGCCTTCAGTGGAGCCAAAAATGGACATGAAAGGATGTGAAGCAGTTGTTAAAGACGTTCTTATAAAAGTACAGCTGCTTTAACTATATTATTTTTAACATTTAAACATGCTGACGTGACTCAAATATTCCCAAAATAATCACAGACGCTTCATCATTGAATAAATTAATTGTTGCATATAATACACCTCTGACAATAATAGATATATGGAGAGTACAGCTGAACTTTAAATGGCAGCAAAAGGTCAAACCTAGAAGAGCCACGTTAAAAGTATATACTGACTTCAAATAAATTCACTAGACATCCTGTAGCTTGATTTTAACTGAACCCTTTTGGTTTGCAGGTCCTCCGTTGGTGAGTGGCAGTAGCCAGGTCCACATTTGTGTAGGTAAACAAACACACCAACACTTCGTACCTCGTCAGAGATCTGAGAACCAAATGTCACCCATGTTCCTGTGAAGACAGAAAAAAGTAACACTGACTGTGTGTGCTGGATATATGGAAATGTGCTTACAGTGTGTGTCTGCTGCAGCTCTCACCCAGTCCTAAGCAGGACACTCTCAGCCCAGATTTCCCAAGATTCCTGCAAAACAACCAAATCAGCAGGTCCACTGATGGATCATTACACCAGACTAACCCTCCTGTTACATTAACAAATAAATTCATTTATTTATGCATCATTTAAAGGCACAATTAGAACATCGTTCGCAGACTGTAAATGCTGTTTTATAGATTTGTTTTTGAACTACATGGATCTGTTTTCCACACACATGCGCACCATTGTAGTTTGTGTCTCCAGATTCATATTACACAGTCATGATTCAGTTTTTGCTAAATAAATGATGACACGGTGTAATATGTCATGTGTTCATCTGAGGCTGTGTTTAGGTCAGAGTGTTTAATTTATGTCCTGATACGTAAACCTTTAGAACTTAAAAAGGTTTAATTTCTTTTATACTTCACTGCACTGATCAGTGTTCATGGTTCCAGTTTGATTCATGGTTCGATCAAGTTTAGTGCTTATTTTTAATGGTTTAACAATCGATTTGTTCCTATTGCTGCTGCTGTTGTTCTTCATTGAGTTTCACATCCTGTGGACTCAAATTCCACTTTCTTGGTCTTCAGTTTGTTGCAACTGTTCTTGTTCTGCTCTGCACCCTCAAAGAGCTCAGCACAGAGACACTTGAACCAGAAATCCACCTTAGCAGGAACAAAGACTTCTATCATCACCGGTAAGATAGCGGAGCTGGGATGGCCACAGGGTGAGTCTCTGAGGAGCACCACAGCAGCGACCTCATGGGCCTGCTGGCTGGAAACGTGAGATGGCTGGTGATTGCTTATTAATGTTCAAAATAAGTTCATGGAGACTCCTCAGTATTCTTTTTTTTTTTTTAAATCAGCCCATTTTACAAGCACTCTTTAAATGACCGTAACTCAGTTAATTTGTGCCAGAGAGATTCAAATGGTTTCAGAAAGAAGAGAAGACAAGCTTTACGGGTATATTTGATGTAGAGCGTGAAGCCTTCTGAAGGTACTGTCGTCTGAGTACAGGCAGAAGAATCAGCTCTGCCTGCAGTTTACTATGTGCGCTTCACTTTACCGTAACTCCTCATAACCACTTTGGGCTAGAATAAGTTGAGCTCCCAGTCAGAAATGGAGTCTGGAAAGTCCCATCAACTCACATTTCCAACTAAGCCAGAACAGCTCCAAGTTAACAATTCAAGATGGCGGCACTAAAGGTCAACAGTACCAAAACTTTAAGGTGTACTTCTACCGTTACATACCTGTGACTCAGTAAGTAAGCAGTGCACTGATCAGACTCTATGAATGTTCTGCACTGATGTTTTTTTAAGTGCAAAACAAATAAGTATTATCATGTATTGCTGGTGATACCTAAAAAGTCACGTGTTTCCTCGCTTTATCTTGAACACACTAACTCGGGTTTGACATCAACCTTCCCAAGTTCAAACATCCGTGCTCCGATGTATTTAAGTCCACTCAGTCTGTATGATCATTAAAGGGGTAAATGGACTGCATCATTGTCCTGGACAGAGAAAGATGCTAGTTTCAGCTGGGAACAGTTGGGAGCAGTCGGGAACAGTCGGGAACAGTCGGGAACAGTCGGGAACAGTCAGGAAAAGTCAGGAAAAGTCAGGAACAGTCAGGAACAGTCGGGAACAGTCAGGAACAGTCAGGAAAAGTCGGGAACAGTCAGGAACAGTCGGGAACAGTCAGGAACAGTCGGGAGCAGTCAGGAACAGTCGGGAACAGTCGGGAACAGTCAGGAAAAGTCAGGAAAAGTCGGGAACAGTCGGGAACAGTCGGGAACAGTCAGGAACAGTCGGGAACAGTCGGGAGCAGTCGGGAGCAGTCGGGAACAGTCGGGAACAGTCGGGAACAGCAGGTACGGCAGCAGGTAGCTCCGCATGTTTGATTAGGCAGCTTTATGCTGAATCCAACCCCAAAAGGGATTTTGAGATCTTTCACTTGCATTAAATACCAACATTAGCTTTGTATGCAGACGGTCAGCGTTGTAGCTTTATCGATGATTTGATCGCGTTAGCGTCTAATTGATTTGTTGCTCTTGTCAGGCTGATACAGTGATGACCACTGTATCAGCCTGACATATAAACCACACGCAGCATCAACAGCCTCCACGAGATTTCATTGGTCATCACCTTGTTAATGTGCTCAGTGGCAATAAAGCACACTGAGGTCATTCAGGGCCAGACTGAGGTCTGCAGCCACGCTAACGAGGACTGCTGCCGCTGCAGTTAGGGAGCAACAGCAGGAAGATTTAAAGTCACTGTTGGAGTCAGCAGCAGTGCATGATGGGAGCTGTGGTCATCAGTCAGGATGATTTAAAGCTTTATGTCGAAACCAATCAACTTATCGCACAGTGTGATTACAGCAGTGCCTTTAATTTAAGCAAACTCGCTGTACATTCATCAACATGAATGTGAGGTCAGAGGTCACAGAGCTGAGGCTGATTAACGCTGTGCAGATGGTACAGAACATACATGAGGGAGGGAGCGCATGTTTCATGTCAGGATAAAAAATACCACAAAGAGCAGCTTCAGACGGCGCTGCTAAAAATACCCCCAACAGCAGCAGCAGCTGACCAATCAGCTGTGTTTTTACTGACGTTTACAGTTTTCACACATCAAACACAGCCAGACACAAACATCCAAACATCAGCCGGCCGCTTTAGAAACACCTCCACCTCCCCTCTGTTCAAGTGTGGCTCTGATGAAATGACCTTCAGTCTGAAAACCAGCGACACGCTTCAGTGATCGAACAGAAAGAGACTCAATTAAAGTCTGACACGTAAACTGACTCGAGTAATTCAAGTCTGCAACACTCATTCACATCCAAGACCGAGGTGCTTGTGTTCGAGATCAAACAAAGGCTCACATCCAAGTGGAATAACTACAAATCCATGACATTTACCTCTAAGTCTGAGGCAAGAAAACAAGATTCACATGCAAGTTACCAAGTCTTACACCAGCTCATTGAGGTTTCAACAATCCAATTCAAAGTCGAGTCTGAAATCATCAATGATGACTCAAATATGAGTCCAAGCTGAAAACATATTCATGTTAGTGTCCAAGTTAAAGTTAAATCTAGGAACACGTCTGAGCTGAAAACATCCAAATTCACATTAAAGTTCAAGTTAAATCCAGCTGTTTTTAAAAACTGCACTTCAAGTATTTCATTGAGGACACATCCAAGCAACAATAATTACAACCCAAGTCCTGATTAAAGTCAGCAGTTTAAAAAACGCAGTCTGAGACCAAATTACTGGACAGAAGCTGTTTACAATGTGCACATCAGATAGATTACATTAAAGTACAAGTCAGGTTAAATAGATAATAATTGATATATATATACATATTAGAGTCCAAGTTTGTTCCACCGTCTTCAAACAAGTCAGCACACAGTAAGAGTTTATCATGCAGTTCAAAGGCATTATTTCCAAGTCTGGGTCAAGTCTAAAATCAATTACAGTCAAGTGAATCATGCATGTAGTCCAAGTCCACAACCAAAGCGTGATTTAGACTTCTGCAGGAAATCTATACTGTAACTTGTGATGTAAGTGGAAACCTCTTTTAACCCAGTGCTCTAACCTCACAAATCATACAGTCATTGCATCGAGTCTGCGTTTAGCCGCATTCTCGGGAGGCTCACGTCAGGTGACGCGGAAGAATATGGGGCTAAAAGGAGTTTCCAGTTATGCCCTGAGTTTTGTCATTGATTTCCCGCAGACGCATAATTCGAGATTGTTTCTCAAATAAAGTCATTTTTCATCTTGAGACAACAGGATTCATACCAGATCCAAGCCACTGGTTTTAAAATGTAGTCTTAGCCCAAGACATGAAACCAAGCAACGCTGTCATCAATACTCCTTCATAGCCGGATGTCAATAACGTGATTCATTGTAA